TGGGGATCGTTGGAAATGACTATAAGTGGTCGAGAGGATCGTTGGAACCGGCATCGATGTGGATTGTTGGAAATGACTCACTTTGGTCGGGAGGATCATAAGCACCGACAATCGTCGGGGATGTTGGAAATGACTATACTTCGTAGGTGGGTTGAAAGATCGTTTGCACCGCAAATCGTTTTCGATCGTTCGGAAAATGGCTGTAGGTAGTCTGGGGGATCGTTGACAACGAAAATCATTAGTGATCGTTGAAAATGACGATAGATGGTCGGGAGGATCCTTGGCACCGAAAATCGTCCCGGATCGTTGGAAATGACGATAGGTGGTCGGGAGGATCGTTGGAACCGAAAATCTTTAGGGACCGTTGGAAATGACGATAGGTGGTCGGGAGGATCGTTGCCAGTAAAACTCGTTGGGGATCGTTGGATATGACAATTGGTGGTCGGAAGGACCGTTGGCACCGAAAATTGTTAGGGGTCGTTGGAAGTGACGATAGGTGGTCGGGAGGATCGTTGGCCCCGAAAATCGTTGGGGATCGTTGGAAATGACTATAGGTCGTCGGGAGAATCGTTGGCACCGATAATCGCTGGGGATCGTTCGAAACAACCATCGGTGTTCGGGAGAATCGTTAGCACCGAAAATCGTTGGGGATGGTTTGAAATGACGGTAGGTGGTCGGGAGGATCGGTAGCACCGAAAATCGTTGGGGATGGTTGGAAATGACTTTAGGTAGTCGGGAGGATCGTTGGCAGTGAAAATTGTTCGGGATCGTTTGAACTATATGACTGTAGGTGGCCTGGAGGATCGTTGACACCGAAAATCGCTAGGGAACGTTGGAAATGACGATAGGTCGTCGGGACGATCGTTGGCACCGAAAATCGTTGGGGCTCGTTCGAAAGGTATGACTGTAGGTGTTCGGGAGAATCGTTAGCATCGAAAATCGTTGGGGATAGTTGAAAATGACTTTAAGTGGTTGAGAGGATCGTTGGCACCAAAATCGATGTGGATCGTTGGAAATGGCTCACTTTGGTCGGGAGGATCGGTAGCACCGAAAATCGTTGGGGATCGTTGGAAATGACTTTAGGTAGTCGGAAGGATCGTTGGCAGTGAAAATCGTTCGGAATCGTTTGAAATATATGGCTGTAGGTGGTCTGGAGGATCGTTGACACCGACAACCGCTATGGAACGTCGGATATGACGATAGGTGGTCGGGACGATCGTTGGCACCGAAAATCGTTGGGGATCGTTCGAAAGGTATGACTGTAGGTG